CAAAATTTAAAAATCCCGCCTAAATTTAAAAATTCCCGCTCATGGCTGTCGAGCCGGCTCGCGAGTCGGCTCGAGCTCGTTTACAGTGAGACGAGCTCGAACTCGAGCTCGCTTTCCAACTAACGAGCCGAGCTCAATAAGGGCCTAAACTCAACTGGACTCGACTCATTTACAGCCCTACTTATAACCAAATTTAGTGCAGTATAAATAAGAATATTAATATGAATATATAATAAAATTGGAAAAGCAGGTAGTAGAAGATGACCTAACAAATAGAATGGTAGAGTTTAACAAAAGATTATTCACGAAAAATAGTTGAACAAAAAGAGAAAGTAAACTCAACACCAACATAACACTCAACATGATGAAGGAAGAGTAAGGACTCATAAAGTCAACACAAAAAAATTAGCATATAACCAATGATGAAATCAAGATAATCATTGGTGTCGATGCATCTCGTCCTGTCTTTTTGAAGATTGCTCCACATAGGGGTGGTAATATTTGACCCACTCGGACCCGACCCAAATTATTGAAAATATAGGACACTGACACGGGTTGGACATGGCATTATAATTTTTATATTTTACAAATAATATATAAAAATGAATAAGTATGCCATTAAAAATAATTTAGAAATAATAAATCATTTAACTAGAATTTGTGCTTAAAATGACTAATATTAGGATGACGAGAGTCAGGAGTCGATAGCGTGTATCAAACATTGAAAGAGGAGACGACAATATTGTCAAGAGTCGAGCATCAATACTATGTAGTAAGTATTGGACGTCGATGTCAAGAGGGCGTCTGTCGTCGATGTAGAGAGGGCGTTGGTCGTCGATGTTAAGATGATGTCAGGCAAAGATGAGCTGCCAAGTTGTGGGTGTAGAAATTGCTAGCGTCGAGCATCAATATCAGACTTTGATATTGAGATGACATCAAACATTATTCTGAAACCAAAGTCGCAACCCGCCAAAGAGAAATGAAAATGAGAATATTCGATGAATGAGGTTTGAGTGCGGGCGATTGATTTGGTATTGTGGATAGGAAATAAGAAATTTATTTTTTCTATTTTATATAAATAAAAAGTTAAATGCAAGAAATTATATTTTTTAAAAAATAATAATAAAATAATTTAGACACGTGCCTCAAACACACTTGTCCAATTTATATTTAATATTTTTTAATCGAACATGTTTTTAACGTGTCGAAGGAATGTAGGATGCGTGTCATGTGAAATACAAGTCGGACACTAAACGCCTCTTTGAGGAGAAGTTTTGATGTATCATAGATGATGGTAATCCTACCCTAAAAGTTTTTTTTCAATTTAAGCTGCAGAGATTTAAAAAAATGAATATGTAAATTTGTTCCTGTCCGCAAGCAGGCCATAAAGACTAGGCAAACAAAAACATACTCGATAGTTCTGTGAGTTAAGAGGTAAACAATAAACCATACGCCCTCCCCCTAGCGACATGAAACACATCAAGAAGGAAAAAATATGCATTATATATATAATGCTCATAATTATGCTTCCTACAAAAAAAATTAATAAAGCTATTTTAACTTTCAACAATGTCTTCAATATATTGAACGAGCAATAGCGTATACAAAAACAAAAGGAAAAAAAAAAGTATTTTACTATTAGATTTAGTGTTCTAGGAAATGAAAAAAAAAAAAAACACAGGCAGTGCAAGTTAAATCAGACAAACTAAATCAAAACAATCAAATAGACAAAATGTTCTTCCTGCCAATGTTTGAGCATTACCACAGATCCATAATCATATAAAAAAACAGATAAATTTCAAAAGAAATATAATTCATGCCCGTGAAATCATCTATTTTTTAAATATGAACAACTCATTTGAACAACAAATTGAACAAGTTGGCAACAGTATCTCGCACCAATCAAACAAAAGGTAAACATAATGATCAAAGGATATAAAACAATATCAGCGACATCTGGAAAAAAGTGGAAGCAAATCTATCTGTCGCAAGTAGGCCTTGTGGGTTTGGAGAAGCTAGTGAGGTAGGTGGAGTTTGATGGGCGAATAAGGTAGCAGCTGCTGGTGGTGTTGGAGAGGCTGCTGCAGTTGGTAGGGCTGGAGCGGTGAGTGTGATTGGAGAGGATATGTAACCATCCGAATTTTTGAAAATAATTTAAAATGAAAAAAATCTGAATTTCTGTTTGAATTGCAGCACAGTAGAGAGAAGGGGAGAAAGAAGATTTTTAGCGGCCAGATCGCTTTGCCACTTTTGTAGAAATTTCTTAGATAACTCTAGGTGATTCTAATCGAAATTTCTCAGATCACTCTAGGTGATTCTAATCATAACTCGGTTTTAAAAAAACAAATTGATTTTAATTATTTGATTCTCCCTAAAACTAATTTTATTGCATTTTCTCGGGATTTATTGAACTTTTACAATTAATTATCCATGGCATTTTTTTACTGTAACATTTATTGAATTTTCTCAGGTAAAATGGAAATAACATTATTTTGTATTGTTTCTACTAATTGAATAACTGATATTTTTACTGTAAGCGTATAATTAATACAAGCATTGGAAATGAATGTTAGTATGTGGTTGAGAAATAATTGGTCGCTATTATTGTTATAGTATTGTGATAATGTGTAAAGACAAGTAAAAGTTGGTTTCAGAGATGTTCGCTGAAGACTTACTGACTTATACAGGATGGCGGGCCGAGGGACTTTCCTTTAAATACTATGGTTTGGTGTTATCATTTGCTGATTCACGTGATATTGATTGAGAGTTATTATTATGCCAACGGGCAAAGAGTAACGACTGCGTGTACTGAGCCAACGGGATATTGATACAAATTATTGCTTACTGAAAAAACAACACTCAAACCAAAACTTCATACTTGTTTAGTATGACTACTAAAATACATATTATTGAT